TACTGAGTGTATCAACTGGTTCTGCAGAGCTGAAGAGGTTGTAAAATTTACTGGCACAATGTGCAATAAATTGTTTGCTGTAGTTGAAGTTGGGGTTTGCTGCTGTTGGGAACCAATGGAGACCATGTCTAAGAATCATTTGAAGGACGGCTGGATCTCCTTCCTCAGAACTGCTACGATAAATAGTACCAGGTTGAAGGTCTCGTGCAAGATGGAAGAAGCCACATAGTTGTAGGTCCCGATCAGCGACCAAGTTGACAGGACATTCTGGCGCATATTGGGCACCTTCAATTATAAGTGTGATGTTGTTGGCAAGTGGTATGAGGGCTGTGCCAAATCCTTCACAAGTAAGAATTGGTCCTTCTTTGGCAACACGCATGCTAGATTTCTGCTGAGTATTACTATAGGGAATGAAGAGAGAGAAATCTCGAAGCGTGGTGACATTGCAACCGTTGTCAATGAGTACAGGAAAAGAAATTGGAAGGGAAGGGACGTTAACTGCAAATGCCCGGATTACTCCCGGGCCATCCAAAAATCCTGTTGACTTTCATGTTGTTCGGTCTCTGATTGGAGTTGCGTTTCCATCCACAATTGCTGTTCTGCAGCATACTGCTCACTCTGCTGGTCATCCCAATCACTGTTCTGTAGCAGAAGTGCTTGGTTTTCAGGTATCTGCTGTTGTGGAGGGTTTGGTTGCTGGAGTAAGAGCGCATTTGGATTTGCTGGTGGTCGATGCTGTTGCTGTTGCTGTAATTGCTGAAGAAATGTGTTGGCACACTGTTGAGCAACATGACCATAGCCTCCACATGCATGACATTGGACTCTAAAAGATTGTTGCTGTGCAGGGTACCAACTCCCCCCAGAGCCGCGTCCCATTGCGGTACCACCTGTTGCTGTTCCACTTGAACTTAGTCCTCACCATGTCCCTCGGCCTCGGCCAAAACCACCATATGGGCGCGGTGTGTACTGTTGGGACTGAGGGTTTTGGTACTGCAAGGTTGTTGGGTGGATACTAGGATACGGCTGGTACTGCTGAGGTTTATGATAACTGCCACGACCACGGAGTTGACTATAGTGTACTTTTGGCCGAATAATTACATTTGCTGTTGGTGAAGTGACTTCTGGAACAGCTGTTGTGCTGCAAGTCGATCCTGCCTCTCATCGTATGTATTTTGGCAGGCGGTAGATTTAAATAAGGTGATTAGTTTAGTCAATGATGAAACAGAAGTAATAGGATTCCCTGCAAACATGAACGTATTGGCAACACCCATATCGATTAGCGTGTTGTTCAGGGCAGATACGAAGACTCGCACAACTTTGGAAAATGGTGTGATGCGACTGCGGATTTCCACTGATGAACTTTCTGCAAAACTTTCTACTTTGTGGTAAGCCGTAATGAAGCGCATTGCAAATGACTCGGATGATTCTGCAGGTTCCATTTTTATACGTTCAAAATCATCAATAATTTCCTTTGCTAATCCTTGATCTGTTGTTCGACATGCAATCGCAATTTCTCCAAGCAGCGTGTAGGCAAAAATCTGCCCTTGTCGGGGGGAACTGTGGTAGGAGCTCTGGTTCAACGTGTCGTCGAATGAGAAGGATACAGTATGCGTTCTGGTCCTTCTGTCCCTGGGAACCATTTGACTGGCTCACACCCATCTCGTGCAAATGCATAATGCTTGGGCGAATTTGGAGAATCACTGAGTTGTTCACGTAGATCCGAAGCTTTAGAATGCAGGAAATTGGTTTGAAGTGAATTGGTGGAGTTTTGGCTGAGTTGTGTTGGTGGGAAGCTCCAAGTAACGAATTTTTGACGAATTTGGCGCTAATGGGACAGCAAAAACGCGGACAGCTGTTATTCTGCAAGGAACCAGTCGAGGATCACAACGTTTGGTGGATAGATAGAGTGGAAGTAGCTCTTTCCTGTGGTAGTAAGCGATTCCTAAAGCAATTGAAAGAAGTTGGAAACGTAAACTCTCGAAATTCGGCGTTATCAGGTGGCTGATGTTGTGGATGAGTGCTGTTACATGCTCTGCGACGCTGCTGCAGCGAAAAACGATTGTCAAAACGTCTTCCCCAGTGTTAAAAGTGGTGTAGACGTGGTGAAATGGTGGGGGTACAAAAACTGAAGGTGTTGGTTCTGCAGTTAGTGATGCTGGTGATGTGTGGTGGTGAGTGGCACTGTTTGTTCTTCTTGTTGTTGCTATGCGTTCTGCTCGTTCTCCTTATTCTCCACTGATCTCAACTCCAAGTGATTGGAATGGGTCACAATTTTGTATGAAAGAATTGACTGCTGTTGTTTGTGGATGGTGGTGAACTACTCTGGTGGACTACTCTCTTGTGATGGTGAAGCTGAGATGGGAGACTGTTGTACAATGTATGCTGTTTGGCTTTATACAAAATTGTGACAAAGACCAGGTGACAAAAAATGCACCAAATCCTCATCACAGTTGGTGCTCCCATGCACCACAGTGTGAGGTGTTACTCCTGCACACTGCTTACTGCAAAAACCCAAAATCTAACACTTGCCCTGTCCTGCCCTGTTCCTGACAAGCTGGATTAAAGGAAAGTAGTGGGAGTTGAGGAGTGGGAAAGGTGTGGGTGTGAAAACGGCGGTCGAGGAAGGCCAGTTAACAAAGGAGATGGACTGGGGGGTTGAGTTGCGGTAGTGCTTGTGTGGCGGCTGATGGGGACTGTGCAGGTGGAGTGTGCAAGGGAAGTTGGATTGTAGGGAGAGATGTGCTTGCTGCAGGGGTAAGAGAATGGGGGGGGAGCGTGTGAGTCCCTTAGCGGTGCCGTCAGGCGTCTCAGTAGATTTTGTTGCAGTAGCGGCGGCAGCAGTGTTCTTGCTGTGGTGAGGCATTTGTCACATCAGCAAAAAAGGGCGTGGCATCTGCGCCCATCGAGCACCATCTAATGCCAGCAATGCTGGAGTGCCATCTGCGATGGCCAATTAACCTCCACAATTGCCAATGCCACGTTGAACTTGAAAGAATTTGCTATGTTGGCTGATTGATGGATTGGGCTGGAGTGGTGTACACTACTAAAGGTGGTGGTGGGAGGTTGATCTTGGCTTCTGTCAGTCTTGTGTTTGTCTTTATACAAAACTGTTACAAGGACCATCACTTGCAAAATGCTGCAAGTCATCGTTGCAGAGCAGTAACTGGTCAAACCTCCTGCACACTGCTTACGGCAAAAGAGCAATGCTCGGTCATTGAGCATTGCAAGAAGTGAAAGTGGCACAAGAATTAATCAGTGAAATCCTCGAACCAATTGTTGAACCACCCCACTCCCAATTAAAGGAGGACGAAGGCTGTTGCCCCCCAGACTCAGATCACACTTCCATGAACAACTGCCCAGCAACTGCAAATGCTTTGGCTCCAAAACGCCCTTTGTGATGTGGAGAACGTGAAGTGCATTATCTGCATAATTTTGGGGCAGATTATTCAAAAATTAGGTCTCTGCGACCCACAAATACAGATGTCTGTGGCCTTCTGCCACTGCAGACTTGCCATCCTGCAGAGTGGAGAGTGCAGATGTTGGCCCACTGCATTGGCGGTATGCAGCCTTAATGAGGACACAATTTTGCTTTTGCACCCATTGTTCCTTGTCACCACCCGGGTTAAGGTGACAGACTCGAAATCTGTTACTCTCCGGGTGCACAGGTTTGAGTCCTGCCTTTTTCGACAAAGCAGGGCTGAAGGGCATGTAAAGCTTGTTTGGCTCTTTGCACTTTTGGTTTAAATTGTACCACCCTGAGCGTTTTCTGCTGTGTTAACAGTCTACTCTGAGTGAGTGAGTAGAAGGTGGAAATGTGTGTTTGTGGGTGGTCCTTCTCCCCAACTTGGAGAGAAAAGAAAAACTCTATTATGAACAATTGATACATGATAATGATTTTATGCATGCTCAAATAGTTGCTAGGCGAGCATGACACGCACATGGTAAAAACCTCTCCTATATTATCTGCTTGAGCAGAGGAGGAGGAAAACTGTTTACACTGGATTTCCCGTTCCACTATGTATTTGGAGTATTTGTCAACAGCGCAAGCCAGCGCCCAGGTCTGCATTGGCAGTGGCTCACTCTCCCCAGGCATCATGTAGAACAATGACGGACAGTCACAATAGGTTCTGGTCTGTCTTGTGCCTCTTTTTGCTAAGCAGTCAGTTCTGCCTAATATGCTGAAAATGCAGCAGAGCCTGAGAGCTCAACATTTTCCTTCAAGGTGTATGCAATTCATGTCAGGAACAGGGCAGGACAGGACAAGGTAGACAAGGAACTGAGAGGAGTGATGATTGTATTGGAAATAATAATTCACTTGAGGGATGGGACAGGTCCCCCATCCCCCTTTTATACCCTTTGGGAGTCTTCCTTGTCAAGACTCAAAGAAAATTACAGAAAGAGCAATTAGTAATACAATGATACCAATGATACCAATGTCAACAAGACAAGTCAGGAAAGCAAAGAAGGTTCCAGAAGGTTCCACAAGGTTCCATGAAGGAATGTTCTAGAAGGTTCCAGAGGTTTCCAGAGGGTGATTCATAACAATTCACTTATTTTCTGTTGAAGCATGTGGAAGTCTCACAGGACAACTTACACCTGGCAGACAATGGGCATGCAACCCCACTGCAAAATTGTGTGCAACCATAGGGCCTAGCTGGTGGCAAAGGGATGAGAAAGATCATGTGGATGGATAGTGCAGCTTTGACCAAACGAGGTGGACGGCAGATGCTGTATGGCTGCTTGCAAAGAACCAACTGACAAGGAAGCTCTCTGTGCTCAAAATATAACAAGCAAAACCCCACCAAACACAAGAAACACAACAGTAAAGACATGCAAAACACACGTGTTGAAACACCCAATTTCTCAAAAGGGTGCAACAAAGCAACGGCCTGGCGCTTCCACATCCATTTCAATGTCCAAGAACAACAACTTAGAAAAAAAAAAAAAAAAAAAAAAACTTTCTTTCCAGGTGTAAAAAAAGTAAAACAATCCAACACACTGCCTTCTTGGCGCAGTTGGCAGAGCGTCCCTAGTGGAAGGAGAAGGTAACCAGTTCAGTTCTGGTAGAAGGCATTAATTGATGAGTTTAAAATTCCTGCTCATACTTTACCATGATATGCTTTGACCAATAAGTGTAAAGATCATCTGAACTGAGGTTGATCACACCGCTGTTGTCAGTGTAGATGACAAGAGGTTAATAGAACTTAGTAGCCAAGCTGTGATTTCCCATCTGAGTGGACACCATGGGCAGCGTCAGAGTAAGCGGCTATATCTGTGCAGTTGCGAGAATAGAATAAACCATACTCACAATTACTGTTGAGATTTCGAGAACCCAAATAAGGATCCTTCATGTGTTGCTCGCTAGGATCCTTGCTGAAGGCACCAAGGTATGAAACTGCTGGGGCAAGGTCTCGTCATGGGTGTGTTGCGAGGTAGTTGATGCCACCAAGGATTGCCTGGTACAGTCTCTGGTCTGGCTGCTTCGTCGATCCCACGTGGCTGAAGATTGAGACTACGGGGAAGGGCAGTTACTGCAGTGCGGTTGTTGACAATGTTGGCATGGCACTGAAGTAACTCCTTGATATAGGCTTTCTGGTGCAAGAAGATTCCGTTGTGGGTTCCAGTTGCATATTGAGGATGGTTTTGATTGTTCCTATTTCGCGGAGCTTGTAACGAGATTTGAGCAGTGTGATGGTAGAGATGATCTCCCCAGAATCCCCAAAGAGACAAGTATCATCGACATAGATTGCAATGAAAATGACTTTTCCATCCACTTGATGGAAGAGGATACAGGGGTCTGCTGTGCTTTGATATCCATTCGACTTCAGGTGGCCAATCAGTTCCTGGTACAAACCCCAGCCAGCTTGCTTGATACCATTAACAGCTCTCTACAGTAGCCAGGCTTTGCCATCACTGTGGTAGCTGTCTGGCTGCTCCATATAAATGGGCACATCGAGCATGCTGTTTAGGTGCGCATTGCTGATGTGGACAATAGCAGTGTGCCAGTTGTTTGCAGCTGCCATTGCAATGAGCCAACGAAGACTATTGATTTGGACAACAGGAAGAGTGAGTATTCCAAAAATCAATGCCATGACGGTGAGTGAAGCCCTTAGCCACAAGCCTTGCATGGAAGCGCTCAATGCTGCCGTCTGGTTTAAGTTTGACCTTGTAGACCAATTTGTTTTGCACGACGTTGATGTTGGTGGGCCGACCCGCGAGGGCCTGCGCGCTTCGCGGGAGAAAGGGGTTCGGTCCCGTCTGCGGTGAAACCAAAAAGTAAAAACCGGCAGCCGTGAGGAAGCGCTTGCGCGCAACCCCCCAACCGGCCGGCCCCACCGGCGAACGGGTCCAAGGTCCAACTACGAGCTATTTAACTGCAACAACTTTAATATACGCTACTGGAGCTGGAATTACCGCGGCTGCTGGCACCAGACTTGCCCTCCAGTCGTTCCTCGTTACGGGCTTTAAATGGTTCTCATTCCAATTCCAAGGCCCAAACGGACCCTGGATTGTTATTTATTGTCACTACCTCCCCGTGTCGGGATTGGGTAATTTGCGCGCCTGCTGCCTTCCTTAGATGTGGTAGCCGTTTCTCAGGCTCCCTCTCCGGAATCGAACCCTAATTCACCGTTACCCGTAACAACCATGGTGGGCCTCTATCCCACCATCGAAAGTTGATAGGGCAGAAGTTTAAATGACCTGTCGCCGGCACAGAGGGCCATGCGATCTGTTTCAACCAGTTTCTATGAATCACCAAAGAACTCGAAAGGGGGCCACATGTGCCCGCCCGACGAGGTTGGTTTTTTATCTAATAAATACCACCACTTCCAGAGGTCACGGCTTTGATTGCATGTATCAGCTCTAGAACTACCACGGATATCCAAGTAGTAATTTAGGTTGAAAGAGAGACGGTCAAGTAAACGACAACTGATTTAATGAGCCATTCGCAGTTTCACTGTAGAAGCTAGTTCATACTTAGACATGCATGGCTTAATCTTTGAGACAAGCATATGACTACTGGCAGGATCAACCAGGTAGCTGAGTGTGTTTACTCCCCCGCGGTTCCGGTCGCGCATTGTTGTTGTTTGTTGCGTCTGAGTTCCACAACTTCAAAGGCTGCTAAAGTGCGAAGGGCATTGATCTCAGTCTGCTCTGCTGCAATCCACTCCTTGGACCATTTACCCAACATGGCTTCTGCACGAGTTTCGGGATCGGGACATGTTGTGCTTGTGAGGTTGGTTTGCCCAGAACGTGTCCGCTGTCTGAGTTGCCAGGTGATGGTGAACATGAATGTTGGTGATGAGGAGGTGGTTCTGGTGGAGGTGGTTCTGGAGGTGGAGAAGCCTGTGCCGCATCCCTAGTGGGTGTGTCTGCCATTGTTTTATCTTGTAGGGACTTTGGAGGAATTAGTTTATAACAGTCTCAGATATCCAACACACAAAAGTGAGCAAGGATAAAATGCACAGGTGAGCCTTCCGCACGATGCTGGTCTGGGCTTCCCCCAGTACCCTATGAAGTGAGGCAACCACTCCCCAAATACACAGCTTGCCCTCAACGCTACCCTCCGCGTCTCGCCTGGGCACATCAGGAGAATAACTGTCTCCTGGTTGGCACTCCTCACGGAATGGGCTCCCTGTTCAGGACTCCACCTCCTCTGACACAGATCTGGGCCACACTAGCCCAAGAGCTGGGACTTCAGTTGCTTCACATTGCCAGTCTACCCCCTGATCCAGTCTCCCTCAGTCACGCCTATAGTGCGCCCAATAAGGCCCACTGGAGATGACGTTAATTGCAGTAGCACAGAATCCAACCCATCGTGCCGTCACCTCCAACATCAGAGCTGTACATTGTTATCTGATTCACTTTCGCTGTGCTGACCTCAGGGGTGACACGTTTTACCAATTCCACAGAGGTCACTGGTGTTGGTTCTGGCTCAGGTAGCTGTTCAATGTGTATGTTTGCTTTTCGAAGGAGGGCCTTGATGTTGGTGTTGGTTTCCTGAACTTCGTCAGCTGAGAGTAAGGGCGTGTGGTGATGCAGTAGTTCTGACGCGTCATCACCAGCATCTGATTTGTTGAGTTTGGGAAAGTTGTCTTCGGCGATGTGTGATAACGTGACCAGTGTTGATGTCGATGAGCCAGGCAATGGATCAGCCTATATTGCCAATGTATATTGCTGGTCGTGCTCGTTCTGCCAGTTTCTTGTACTGATGTGTGCCGCTGCGTTCCTTGGCTGTCACATGGTAGAGGCAACCAGCGCCAAAAACCCTAAAGTGACTGATGCAGGGAGGAAAGCCAAGTAGCATTTCAACAGGTGAAAGCAAACCACAACTGAGAACTGGCAGTGTGTTGATGTTGTCCACGGCATGTCGAATAGCATAACCCCACCAAGACCAAGGTGAGCCAGCATGCTGAAGGAGTGAACGAGTTCCATCCATGACTCTTCTAATTGCACGTTCTGCTTTGCCATTGAGTTCTGGTGTGTGTGGTGGACTGATTTCAACCCGTATTCCATGCGAGGCGCAGAAGCATTCAAAGGCAGTCGACTTAAGTTCGCCCCCATCAAACCTAACTGACTTAACCTGAACGTCTCGCACAGTCTGGAGTTGCTGAATGAATTTGATGGCTTCTGGTAAAGCATCAGACTTCTGTCATAGGTTGGTTGACCAGATATAATTGCTGACATAGTCAATGGCAATGAGGGCAAAGCCGTACTGCCCCCTGAACTTGGGTTTGACCTCCACAAGGTCAAACGCCAAGTGTTCCCCAGGTAGCTTGTCCGGAGGATCTGTGTGGGGAATAGGGGCACGTGTCTGCTTTGCAATAATACAGGGCTTACACTCGTCCTCAAGCAGTTCTAAGTCTATGTCTGGAAAGTCAGCACAGGTTTGTCGTTCCTTCATGGAACGAAGTCGAGCATAGGGAATGTGTACTAGACATTGGTGCAGTCGGTGAGTGTCTGGTTTTTTGCTGTTGAGAAATGCTGCACAAATGCTGTGTGTCTGCAGGTTCTGCTGACATGAAAAAGTTGTAATATCTGCTGGCGCAATGGGCGAGAAATTGAGTGCTGTAATTGAAGGTTGGGTTTGTTGCAGTCGGGAACCACTGGAGGCTGTGCCGAAGGATCATTTGAAGAACTGCTGGGTCACCTTCTTCATGACTGCTGCGGTGAATAACACCTGGTTGGAGGTCTTGTGCCAAGTGATAGTAACTGCATAGCTGGAGGTCCCTGTCGGCAATTAAGTTGACTGGGCATTTTGGAGCAAACTGGGCGCCTTCAATAATGAGAGTGATGTTGTTTGCAAGAGGAATTCGTGCAACGCCTGGCCCTCACAGTTGAGAGCTGGGCCTTCCTTTGCGATGTGCATGCTGGATTTTTGGTTGTTGAACGTTGATGGGATAAAAAAGGAGAAATCACAAAGAGTAGTAACATTGCAACCGTTGTCAATAAGGAGAGGAAAGGAAGTAACAGGAGGTGGAATGTTGACTGCAAATGCCCAGATCACTCCTGGGCCATCCGAAAATCCTGTTGGTGGTTATCGTCACTTTGGCCGCCAAACTATGAGTTGTAAGTCTCTTCCCATTGTTGAGATTCGACCCACGGGGTACACTACGCCCGTTACTGATGATCCCTTTGAGAACTCCATCCAATCACATTGGATGGGTGTTCGAAGAGCTCAGTAGATTCAATACTTGAATGGGGCGCTCGGAAGGGCTAATCTGTTCTCAATAAAAAGAGATAGGCAAGGCGGCTGTTGTTCTAGCTTTGTTCATCCTACCCGTAGGAACAATGCAATTAGAACATGCACAAAAACGCTCAAACTACGCACTCTGCACATGTAACACAGCACAGCAAGCATGCAGAAGCAGTGTACCACTGCCCAATGCTCCGGAATTCCGCTCTCTGCATCGGAATTCCGCTCTCTGCACCGGAATTCCGCACTCTGCATCGGAATTCCGCTTCCTGATCTGGAATTCCAGCTTTCCTGCTGTGCTGTGCAATCTGAGCAATGCAACAGGCATTTAGGAACCAGGGATTGCACCAATCACTGCATTTCTAAAAGTGAGATAAAA